GGGTTTTTTTTTTTTTTTTTTTTTTTTTTTTTTTTTTTTTTTGAAAAATTACCTACAACACACGATAAACAGTAGACATATATTTTATTCATATACCACAAGCTACAAGAGAGAGGTGCAATAAGCTTTTATTATAATTTAATCGATCCAAACAATATCATAATAATATTTATTTAGAACTACATTTATTCTAATAATAAGATCATTAAAAATTTATTAAATGTATCCTTTTTTTTGTTCAGGAATAGACTAAGCTTTATATTTTCTTTTTCCTCTCTCTATTTCTCTCTCCTTTGTATAATTCATATATTTTCTACTATATTTTGATAAAGTGGAATGTATAGAAAGTATTGACAATATTACTATAGAGATTATAAATAATGAGCAAGTAATGCAATATAATTAAATAGAGAAAATCAATGTTTCAGACTAATCTTGAACTATAATTTTAGTATGTTTTTATACAAAATGTAATAAATTATATTGAAAGAAATGGACAATTTCGTACAATGTTATTCATTTGCTTTCTCATCACAACAAGGAAAAATAATATTATTGAAAACTAATATTTTATATGATCTTTTTCTGTGATAATTAACGGTGATAATTAAATTTTGATAAATAACTTTTTTGAAGATTATAAATGTAACAACATGTATATATGTAAAATATTCACAAATCTTAATGTTAAAGAGTATTACTTCTATAATATTATGCAAGATCGTTGTAATGCTTGCGCAAATTTAATTTTTTTTTTTCCATACATTACTTTATACTTTTATATTTATATCAATTTTGTTGATTTTTCATCATAGAAGCACGCCGTTACATCTACTCATCTTTATTCTCAAAAGTGATGACTTCTACCTTTGTTATTTTCTTCGGATCAGGAGTTCCTGTTTCAAGTATCTCAACCTTTTGATATACATTGGGCGAATTTAACCAACGTGATCTATCTGTACCTTTACGACCACCTTTCCAAAGCCTATAAAAAATGGAGAATATAAATGGAAGAATTTTTTTCGTTAATTGTTTAATATATATAACAAATTTTATCTAAGAAACATATTTACCCTTGTTTATATAATTCTTCCTCTTCAAGTAAATATCCTAAAGACGAGACCGCTGGCGGTACTTCTACATCATTTCGAGGCCGCGGAGGTTCTCCTTTCACTAACGGATTTCTATATATATAACCAGTTCGGAAACCCTGCCAAATTATATTAAATATAATATATATATATTATATTAAATTATATTTGACGAATATATATGAAATAATTAATAAATGTATTATTTTTAAACAAAAGAATGAAAATCAAAAAAAAAAATCTATATACTTACAGCGTTATCAAGCATCCGCATAAGAGCTTCGAATTCAGTTCCACCGATTCGCCAACGCTTTTCGAGTTTCTCAGTAAGAGCTGTAGTTTCAGAAATTGGAACCGTTTGTTGCGGTGTCGGTGGTTTTCTCGAAGCTTCGAATATAGCTTTTTTAGATTCTTCAGAAATAAGATTTAAATTATCCAAACCGGCAGGCATTAATTTCAATTGAGTCTCACAAGCTAGGACCATATTATAAACATTGAAGAAAGCTTCTTCGACAGTTTCTCCACAACAGAGAGCACCGCGATTCGTTAACAACATGATTTTGTTCATTGGACCAAGATTTCTTGCTATCTTCTCTTTTTCTTCTGGTTCAAAAAATCCACCTATATATTGATGCGTGCTTACCTCTCCTATTACTATACTTTCTTGTCCTATTGGCAATAATCCGCACTTCAATGACGAGATCTAAAGAAATAAATGAAATATTATTTTTTTTAAAAGTAAAATTAAGAGATATCTAAAATTATGTTATTTTTATACTTACAGCAGTAACGGACGGAGTGGTAATATGAACAATGCATTTTATATCGGGTCTCGCAGCATGGATTGTTGAATGCAATTGAAATCCTGCCACATGAACCCCAAAATTGGTTGTTCCTTGTTCCACGATTGTTCCTTGCATATCAACTTTAATCAAACTTGAAGCAGTAACTTCATGATACAATAAACCATATGGATTAACTAAAAAGTGTTCTTGATCTTGATTTAAACGAGCTGTAATTTGTCCTCCAACACCTTGAGTCCAACCATAGAGATCAAGCAATCTAAATACTGCTGCCAATTTGCAGCGCAATAATTTCTCTCCCTTTGCATAACCCATACTTTCAACACCACGTATATCATTGATAGGTAATACACAATTTGAATCTAAAAAAATTAATTACTTAAACATTCAAGCAAATATTTGAATGATATTTCATAAACATACTTTTAAAAATATTTCCGTTGAATCGAGCACCTTGTGCACCCATCATGTCCGAGATTTGCTGTAATAGACCTGATGGTCCAGCACCATCTTTCATTTGTGTTTCAATTATGCGTTCTAATTCTTCTCGAAAAAGTCGCGAATTCATCATCATTTCGACTCTCTTCCTTCTTTCCATCTCTCTCATGTCCTATGAAATAAATATTTAAGTTTAATATATTTTTTAAATATATTTTATTAAAGTTATATATGCAAATATTAAAAGCATTTGTTTTACAGTTTTAGAAATCTTAATATATGATAGAAAGTTCATTTAATATCAATTAGAAACATAATAAATACATAATAAAGAATATAAAAAAAAATCCATTTTTTAAAAATCTTACCGCATCGATATCTGCAGGCCGCATTTTGCTCTTTTCTTCTTCTGTCAAACCATCCATTACTCCATTCGTGTGTGGTTCGGATAATGGTTGTTGTTGACTTGTATCTGCCATCCTTATTTTTTTACTTAGTGTCTCTTTACCAATTCCTTTTTATTTTTTTTCAAATTATATTTTTCTTTTGTATTTTTTATCGTATTTCTATTCGTTATCACTATCACCACCACTATCACATTCACCACTACTATCACTAGCACTATCACTATCGTCTTCGTCGT